GTGAATGGAACAAATGGTACTTGGGACCTGACGTCTGTTGGAGTGTGAGAGGGTAATATTTAGTAAAAGGGTTCAGGGAAACCGGTTATTTTCATTAGCGGACTTGGCCCGGAAATGGGAAAACAATGCCTGTTTTTTTTAAAAGGGTGGTTTGGGGTATTTGGCAGTTTTGGAGGGATATTTGTGTATCTTTATGTGATGCTTTGCTGTTGTATTTGGCACCTCTGCAAAAACAGTGATAATGTGGAGTGTGGTGAAAGTGTTGAATGATGTAAAGTATTTTTTTTTGGGGTTTTCTTTTTTTTTTGGGTCCCTGCCCCGGTGGGAGCGGCCGATTTTGAAAAAAAAAAAAAAATTTTTTATATTATGGGAGAGTTTTAATGGAGAGGAAAAAATGGGATTAGGTAGGGGTTTTCAAATAGAGTTAGAGCAAGAAGGAGTCAGAAAATGTGAAGGATAAGTTGGCAGGAAAAAGAACAAAAATTAAAACCCGGTGATGTGGAAATAAAATAAGATTGGATGTGGGAAAAAAGTGGGTTAAGTTAAGCGTGTATGCACCCGGGAAGGAGAGTTAGGGAGAGGAGAGATTTGGGGAATGTTGAGGGAAATGGTGGGAGGGGTTTTTAATTAGTGTGGAGAAGGTGGTTGGGGATTTCAATCTAAAGTGGGTTAAAAAAAGTTATAGGGGAAAATGTAGGTAAATTTGGGGTGCCGGGGGTAAATGTAAAAGGGAAGCCTTTTAAATTTAGTATGTTAGAAAAAAATTTGGTAATAAATAATACATTTTTTATGAAAAGAGGATAATAAAAATACAAGGTATGATGTAGCACGTAATGAAAGTAGTTTGTTAGATTATGTACTGGTGGATAAAAGGATGATGGGTAGGCTCCAGGATGTACATGTTTATAGAGGGGCAACTGATATATCGGATCATTATTTAGTTGTAGCTACAGTTAGAGTAAGAGGTAGATGGGGAAAAGAGGAAGGTGGCAAACAACGTAAGAGGGAGGTGAAAGTGTTAATAAACTAAGGGAGGAGGAAGTTCGGGCGAGATATAAGCGACTATTGGCAGAAAGGTGGGCTAGTGCAAAGATGAGTAGTGGGGGGGTTTGAAGAGGGTTGGAATAGTTTTAAAAATGCAGTATTAGAATGTGGGCAGAAGTTTCTGGTTATAGGAGGGTGGGGGCAGGAGGGAAAGAGAGTGTGATTGGTGGAATGATGAAGTAAAGGGTGTGATAAAAGAGAAAAAGGTAGCTTACGAGAGGTTTTTACAAAGCAGAAGTGTTTATAAGAAGAGCAGAGTATATGGAGAGTAAAAGAAAGGTGAAGAGAGTGGTGAGAGAGTGCAAAAGGAGAGCAGATGAAAGAGTGGGAGAGGATAATGTCAAGAAATTTTAATGAAAAGAAGAAAAAATTTTGGAGTGAGTTAAACAAGTTAAGAAAGCCTAGGGAAAGTATGGATTTGTCAGTTAAAAACAGAGTAGGGGAGTTAGTAGATGGGGAGAGGGAGGTATTAGGTAGATGGCGAGAATATTTTGAGGAACTTTTAAATGTTGAGGAAGAAAGGGAGGCGGTAATTTCATGCACTGGTCAGGGAGGTATACCATCTTTTAGGAGTGAAGAAGAGCAGAATGTAAGTGTGGTGGAGGTACGTGAGGCATTACGTAGAATGAAAGGAGGTAAAGCAGCTGGAACTGATGGGATCATGACAGAAATGTTAAAAGCAGGGGGGGATATAGTGTTGGAGTGGTTTGTACTTTTGTTTAATAAATGTATGAAAGAGGGGAAGGTACCTAGGGATTGGCAGAGAGCATGTATAGTCCCTTTATATAAAGGGAAAGGGGACAAAAGAGTTTGTAAAAATTATAGAGGAATAAGTTTACTGAGTATACCAGGAAAAGTATACGGTAGGGTTATAATTGAAAGAATTAGAGGTAAGACAGAATGTAGGATTGCGGATGAGCAGGGAGGCTTCAGAGTGGGTAGGGGATGTGTAGATCAAGTGTTTACATTGAAAGCATATATGTGAACGTATTTAGATAAAGGTAGGGAAGTTTTTATTGCTTTTGGATTTAGAAAAGGCATATGATAGAGTGGATAGGGGAGCAATGTGGCAGATGTTGCAAGTATATGGAATAGGTGGTAAGTTACTAAAGGGCTGTAAAGAGCTTTTATGAGGATAGTGAGGCTCAGGTTGGGTGTGTAGAAGAGAGGGAGAATACTTCCGGAAAAAGTAGGTCTTAGACAGGGATGTGTAATGTCACCATGGTTGTTTAATATATTTATAGATGGGGTTGTAAAAGAAGTAAATGCTAGGGTGTTCATGAGAGGGGGTGGGATTTAAATTATGGGGAATCAAATTCAAAATGGTAATTGACACAGTTCCCTTTTTTGCTGATGATACTGTGCTTAGGGGGAGAATTCTAAAGAAAAATTGCAAAGGTTAGGTGGATGAGTTTGAGAATGTGTGTAAAGGTAGAAAGTTGAAAGTGAAATAGAAAAGAGTAAGGTGATGAGGGTATCAAATGATTTAGATAAAGAAAAATTGGATATCAAATTGGGGAGGAGGAGTATGGAAGAAGTGAATGTTTTCAGATACGTACTTGGGAGCGACGTGTCGGCGGATGGATTTATGAAGGATGAGGTTAATCATAGAATTGATGAGGGAAAAAAGGTGAGTGGTGCGTTGAGGTATATGTGGAGTCAAAAAAAGTTATCTATGGAGGCAAGAAGGGAATGTATGAAAGTATAGTAGTACCAACACTCTTATATGGATGTGAAGCTTGGGTGGTAATGCAGCAGCGAGGAGACGGTTGGAGGCAGTGGAGATGTCCCGTCTAAGGGCAATGTGTGGTGAAATATTATGCAGGGAAAAATTTGGAGTGTGGAAATTAGGGGAAGGTGTGGAGTTAATAAAGCATTAGTCAGAGGGCAGAAGAGGGGTTGTTGAGGTGGTATGGTCATTTAGAGAGAATGGATCAAAGTAGAATGACATGGAAAGCATATAAAATCTTTAGGGGAAGGAAGGAGGGGTGGGGGTCGTCCTCAAAAAGGGTTGAAAGAGGGGGTAAAGGAGGTTTTGTGGGCTGGGGGCTTGAACTTCCAGCAAGCGTGCATGAGCGTATTAGGTTAGGAGTGAATGGAGGCGAATGATACTTGGGACCTGACGATCTGTGGAGTGGAGCAGGGTAAATATTTAGTGAAAGGATTCAGGAAACCGGTTTTTTTCATATAGTCGGACTTGAGTCCTGGAAAGGGGAAGTACAATCCCTGCACTTTTAAAGGAGGGGTTTGGGATATTGGCAGTTTGGGGGATATGTTGTGTATCTTTTTTACGTATATGTTCTGAATTTGTTGAAATTCTGAGCACCTCTGCAAAAGCAGTGATATGTGTGAGTGTGGTGAAAGTGTTGATGATGATGAAAGTTTTTTCTTTTTGGGGATTTTCTTTCTTTTTGGGTCACCTGCCTCGGTGGGAGACGGCCGACTTGTTGAAAAAAAAAAAAAAAAAATATTATATATATATATATATAATATATATATATATTTATATATATTATATATTTTATTTTATATATTATATATATACATACATACATGCCAGGTAGTAGGTTGGTAGACAGCAACCATCCAGGGAGGTACTACCGTCCTGCCAAGTGAGTGTTAAACGAAAGCCTGTGATTGTTTTACATGATGGTAGGATTGCTGATGTCTTTTGTCTGTCTCATAAATATGCAAGATTTACAGGCATGTCTTGCTACTTCTACTTACACTTAGGTCACACTACACATACATGTACACATTTATATATACACACTCATCTGAGTTTTCTTTGATTTTATCTTAATAGTTCTTGGTCTTATTACTTTTCCTTTTATATCCATGGGGAAGTGGAATAGAATCTTTCCTCCGTAAGCCATGCGTGTTGTAAAAGTCAACTAAAATGCCGGGAACAATGGGCTTTGTAACCCCTTTTCCTGTAAAAATTACTTAAAAAGAATAATAAGAAGAAAATTGTTTTTTTTTCTTTTTGGGTCACCCTGCCCCGGTGGGAAAACGGCCGACTTGTTGAAAAAAAAAAAAAAAAAAAAAAAAAAAAAAAAAAAAAAACATCATACATACATACCATACGGCCGACTTGTTGAAAAAAAAAAATTATTAATATTATATATATATATATTTATATATATTATATATATATTTTATATATATATATATACATACATGCCCGGTAGTAGGTTGGTAGACAGCAACCGCCCAGGGAGGTACTACGTCCTGCCAAGTGAGTGTAAAACGAAAGCCTGTAATTGTTTTACATGATGGTAGGATTGCTGGTGTCCTTTTTTCTGTCTCATGAACATGCAAGATTTCAGGTACGTCTTGCTACTTCTACTTACACTTAGGTCACACTACACATACATGTACAAGCACATATATTACACACCCCTCTGGGTTTTCTTCTATTTTCTTTCTAGTTCTTATTCTTTTTTTATTTCCTCTTATCTCCATGGGGAAGTGGAACAGAATTCTTCCTCCGTAAGCCATGCGTGTTGTAAGAGGCGACTAAAATGCCGGGAGCAAGGGGCTAGGGGACCTCTTCTCCTGTATATATTACTAAATGTAAAAGGAGAACTTTCGTTTTTTCCTTTTGGGCCACCCCGCCTTGGTGGGATACAGCCGGTGTGTTGAAAGAAGAAAGATATATACGTATATATATATATATTATATATATATAATATATATATATATATTATATATATATATATATATATATATATAAAATATATATATATATATATATATATATGTATGTATATATATATATATTTAATTTTTCAACCTTTAGAGTGAGATAAGGATCAGGGGTCTCGACCCTCAAAGAGTTAAATCTTCTCAGGGTTTGGCGTTTCAACCTGACATTCTTTTTCGCAATTTTCTGTGTACTGTAAATTAACATTTATGTATATAAAGAATTAAACTGGTGTTTTAGCTCACAAAGATTTGTTAGAGTCAATTTTCTTCACATGTAATACTTTTTTAGAAAACAACAGATTTTCTACATTACCTTCAGTAAGGTTTCTTGCCGTTCAGCATTTAATCTCAGTATTTCACGAATTTCTGCTAGAGCTGTGGAACATGATTCCAACATATGAAAAGTGTGAATTTCCATCTGAGATGAGTCCAGGTTATCAGCTGTGGAAGATTTAGACGAGCCTTGATGAGCTACAAGATCCCCTCGTATAGTTAACCCAGTAGACTCTGAACCAAGATCATCATCTTCTACAGCACCCCACCACCTGTCTCTTGCCCGCTGTGCTGCACGACGATATCTGCTACATAAATCAAATGTAAATTACATGTACATTTTTCTATTAAGAAATCTGAGAAACTTCTACCCCTTGACCCATGTGTGTGTGCCCATTAGAATTTTTTTTTTTTACTAATGATTAGTTTTGATAATCTTTCTACTCTGTCAGCCTAAGTAACTGAGCTATTTCTCCTTGTGGTCCACAGATGAAACTTGAAGTATTGTTAGAATGTGCTAAAGAGGTGTCAGATATTGGCCACTTTGTGCTTCATCCATACATTTTACTTATTCTAGCATTATGCCAGTCACACCATCTTAGTGCTACATCTGAAGTTTAAGACACATTTTACTTCAACTCAAAAAAATCATCACCCAAGTTGAAGAATTGTGACTTTTAAACCTCAGATGTTGATAGACAGGTTTTAAACTGTACTTAGCTTTCTACGGTGCACATTTACAGCACAGACTCATTCTCTCACATCTAGGCCCATATTTACTGCTCACAGCTTATCTGAGTGAGCTGAGCTCATGGTGTAGTAATACAGGACTGACCTGTGCTTCAAAGCTGTAGTACTACAGGACCCACCCCAAAATGGTTAAGAGCAAGGCAAGAGCCAAAAATAATAAACATGAATATAACTGAAAAGAACTGTATTAACAAAGCCCTCTAAAGTGAGTGCCATATTTACAAGGTATGCCTGTATAAGGAAATTCCAACAATTTGAAACAAATACATGAATACAAATTATATACCTTCCCCTTTTACGAGGTGGTTCACTCTCAATAGTTTCAGTCTTGCATTTACCCTCTGATGAAGCACATGTTTGGGCAGACACCATTACTGTATTTACAGAAGTCACTGATAAAGGAGCAGAAGCCACTGATAAAGTATCTTGATCAGGAACAATAGTGGTGGTGAGAGAAAGACTGTCCTGAGGTACATCAAGCTCTTGCTCCTCTAAATTTGAAGGATTCAATTTCTCAATCTTTTCTTTTCGTATGAGAGGCACTACTTGATCAAGTATTTGAAAGTAAGGCCAATCTGCATTTGCTGTTGAATAGCCACCTTTAATGTCCTGAAATATCAGAATGTTCATTAAAACATATCTCTTTGAAAAAATGACAAATTAAATTTTAAATTCAAATTAAATTAAATTAAATTAAATTTTACATCAATTACAAATTTATTATCATACCATGATAATCCACATCCCCAAAATGCTACATTTTTTAACCAAAAAAGAAGTACAGGTCTCCCTCAACATTCACGTTTTCAACTTTCATGGGCTTCACACATTCGCGAATTCCCAACCGCCAAATTCCCAGCCACCAAATTCCCAGCCGCCAAATCATATTTAAGTTTCCCGCCAACTGCGAGTCCCTACTACCCTCCCTCCGACCCCCGCAACTGGCAGCCAGCCCTCCCACCACTCAGTGTGGTGAGTGTTTTGTTTGTTCATTATTTGCTATTAAACTACAGTATAAATAATGTAAACCCATTCATGACTGCATATTGGAATGGCTATTCGAACAGGTATTAGATGGTGACATCATGTGTTTACTCTTGAACACTGCAAAGAATTAAACATTTCTGCTACAGCTAATAATAACAATAGTAATAATAATAATAATGATAATAATAATACAGTTTTTAAACTGCAACATTAACATCCCACTCTGAAGGAGGGGTGTTAATGTTGCAGTTTAAAAACTGTAGTGTAAAGCACCCTTCTGGCAAGACAGTGATGGAGTGAATGATGGTGAAAGTTTTTCTTTTTCAGGCCACCCTGCCTTGGTGGGAATCGGCCAGTGTGTTAATAATAAAAAAAATAAATAATAATAATAATAATAATAATAATAATAGTAGGTAGTAGGTTGGTAGACAGCAACCATCCAGGGAGGTACTACCGTCCTGCCAAGTGAGTGTAAAACGAAAGCCTGTGATTGTTTTACATGATGGTAGGATTGCTGATGTCTTTTGTCTGTCTCATAAATATGCAAGATTACAGGCATGTCTTGCTACTTCTATTTACACTTAGGTCACACTACACATACATGTACACATTTATTTATACACACTCATCTGAGTTTTCTTTGATTTTATCTTAATAGTTCTTGGTCTAATTACTTTTCCTTTTATATCCATGGGGAAGTGGAATAAGAATCTTTCCTCCGTAAGCCATGTGTGTTGTAAAAGTCAACTAAAATGCCGGGAACAATGGGCTAGTAACCCCTTTTCCTGTAAAGATTACTAAAAAGAATAAGAAGAAGAAAATTGTTTTCTTTCTTTTTTGGGTCACCCTGCCTCGGTGGGAGACGGCCGACTTGTTGAAAAAAAAAAAAAATAATAATAATAAATATGATATAATTGAAGGAGGAAATTGTACAAAAATACGAGGGAGTGGTTGACACATCGTCAGTGTGACTTTGTTTATGCTGGAGTGAACATTAGTCTCCCTGCTCTTCCAAACATTTCACAATAATTCATTGTGTTTGGTGCTTGTAGATTGAGTGTGACTGGAGTGGTAGAGGCAGTGATTGAGGCAATGGTATTTAATAACATACATGTTAATAATAATACATGTTATTAATAATATGTACTTTTATTATTTATAACATATATGTTATTAAATACATACATGTTAATAATAATACATGTTATTAATAATAACATGTACTATTATTATTTATAACATACATGTTATTAAATACCACTGCCTCAACCGCTGAGTTATTGTGAAATGTTTTGAAGAGCAGGGAGACTAATGTTCACTCCAGCATAAACAAAGTCACACTGACGATGTGTCAATCACTCCCTCGTATTTTTGTACAATTTCCTTCTTCAATTATATCGCATTTATTATTATTATTATTATTATTATTATTATTATTATTATTATTATTATTATTATTATTATTATTATTATTATTATTACTATTGTTATTATTAGCAACAGCAGAAATGTTCGATTCTTTGCTGTGTTCAAGAGTAAACACATGATGTCACCGTCTAATACCTGTCCTAATAGCCATTCCAATATGCAGTCATGAATGGGTTTACATTATTTATTCTGTAGTTTAATAGCAAATAATGAACAAACAAAACACTCACCACACAGTGGTGGGAGGGCTGGCTGCCAGTTGCGGGGGTCGGAGGGAGGGTAGTAGGGACTCGCAGTGGTGGAGTCTGTGGTATTTAATAACATACATGTTATTAACATACATGTTATTAAAGCATAACATGTATATATTTAGTACAATTTACGATGTTTTCATGTATTTTATGATTATTCATGGTTCAACAAGTTAAGGAAGCAGTATTGTAATACATTTCCCTACAATATACTGGGGCACCAAACATTCATGGTTTTTCAACATTCGCGAGGCTCTTGATCCCCTAACCCTCGCGAATGTTGAGGGAGACCTGTACTTTTCTTCATGTACTGTAAATATGCACATCAACATGCATGCACACACATATACACACATATACAGTGCTCGTAATGGCATTATACCGGGTGAGTGCCCCAGCACAATGCCGTAATGAAAATCAAAAGCCCACCACACAGGGAGGTCTTTTTTCATCAGTGCATCCTGCTGGGTAGCAGCTGTTAGCACAATGTCACGGCCTGCTGCCACACTTTACATTGATTTCTCATTGCTCACATGGCTGCCGTGGTCAGAGGAAGTGTTGCACTTTTGTCTCTCATCCACCTCATCTTTTGTCTAGTATTCCCTCTGGTTTTGGGGCTATACATCTTTGATTATGGGTAAAAGGAAGTCTTTAACACCTGAAACTATAGCTCAAATCATAGGGCTTCACAAAGCTGGGCACCAGATGCAACAAATAGTGGAGAATGTTGGTGTGTGTGAGCATTCAGTGAGGAACTGGGTGCAGCATTTCAAGGCTGGTGGTGGTGTCGAGTAACCATCTGCCAATTCTCGGCCTGGCCCCTCCAAGAAGACATCTGTTCATACCTTAACCGCATTAAAGAGTAGTTCCTCTCTAACCGCTTCTTTAACACAGTTAAGGTACAAACAGATACATATCTTCTTGGAAGGGCCAAGCCAAGGTTTGGCAAACGTTAACTCGACACCACCACCAGCCTTGAAACACTGCACCCAGTTCCTCACTTAATGTTCACACACACCAATATTCTCCACTATTTCTTTCGTCTGGTGCCCAACTTTGTAAAGCCCTATGATTTGAGCTGTAGTTTCAGGTGTTAAAGACTTCCTTTTACCCAAAATCAAATATGTATAGTCCCAAAACCAAAGGGAACACTGGACAAAAGATGAGGTGGATGAGAGACAAAAGTGCAACACTTCCTTTCACCACTGCAGCAGAATGCACTGATGAAAAAAGACCCCCCAGTGTGGTAGGCCTTTGATTTTTCATCATGGCATTATACCGGGGCGCTCACCTGGCATAATGCCGTGATGAGCACTGTACATACACAGAGTTGTACAGTGAACCCTCGATAATCTTAAGGCTCGAAAGTCGTAATTTTCGGAAATCATAATGTTATTTTCGTCAAAACATTGACTCGCGAATCGTCGTTTGATTCGCAAATAGTCATTCATCCCAGACGCATACTCACGGCCCCGAGCCGCCTCACACTCCCTTCCCAGCCAGTGTGGCATTGTTTACCAGTGACAGTCGCCTCACTTGTTCATACAAAATATTTCATAATATTCCATTCATTTTAGTGCTTGCAACTGCTAAATAAGCTACCATGACTCCAAAGAAAGCTCCTAGTGCCAGGCCTTTGGTAAAGAAGATGAGAAATACGATTGAATTCAAGAAAAACATTATTGAACAATATGAAAGTGGTATACATATGGCCGAACTGGCCAGGATGTATAAGAAACCCCATACAACCATAGCTTCCATCATGCCCAAGAAAAAGGAAATCAAGGAAGCTGTTGTTGCAAACGGGGTAAATATGCTGACAAAAATGAGATCACCAGTACTCGAAGATGTTGAGAAGTTATTGTTGGTGTGGATAAACGAGAAACAATTAGCAGTCGCTTATTTGTGAAAAGGCTAGGCAGTTGCATGACAATCTTGTAAAGAAATTTCCTGCAACAAGTACTGATATTTGTGAATTTAAGGCCAGCAAAGGCTGGTTTGAGAGATTTAAGAACTGTAGTGGAATACACAGTGTGATAAGGCATGGCGAGGCTGTCAGTTCGGACAAAATTGCAGCTGCAAAATTTTTAAGTGAATTCAAGGAGTACATACAGAATGAACAATTAAAACCACAACAAGTGTTCAATTGTGACAAAACAGGCCTCTTTTGGAAGAAAATGCCAAAGAGGACCTACATTACTCAGGAGGAAAAGGGATTGCCAGGACATAAGCCTATGAAAGACAGGCTGACGCTCATGTTTTGTAGTAATGCTAGTGGGGATTTCAAAGTGAAGCCGTTACTAGTATACAATTCTGAAAATCCCAGAGCGTTCAAGAAAAACAATGTTATGAAGAGTAAATTGTGTGTGTTTTGGAAAGCTAATAATAAGGCATGGGTCATGAGGAAAATTTTCGTACAGTGGTTCAACGAAGTGTTTGGCCCCAGTGTGAAGAATTACCTCCTGGAAAAGAAATTTGATCTCAAGTGCCTCCTGCTAATGGACAATGCACCTGCTCATCCTCCAAACTTGGATGACCTAATTCTGGAGGAGTATGGGTTCATCACAGTAAAGTTCTATCCCCCTAATACCACTCCTCTCCTCCAGCCCATGGACCAGCAGATCATTTCAAACTTTAAAAAACTCTACATCAAAGCAATGTTTCAAAGGTGCTTTAATGTGACCTCAGACACTCAATTGACCCTAAGAGAGTTTTGGAAAGATTACTTCATTATCCTCCATTGCATAAGCCTTATAGGAAAGGCTTGGGAGGGAGTGACTACCAGAACTTTGAACTCTGCTTGGAAAAGATTGTGGCCAGATTGTGTCCACATGAGGGATTTTGAAGGGTTTGTGGCTGACCCTGACGAGCCTATGGCAGTTGTGGAATCTATTGTGGGATTCGGGAGTTCCATGGGGTTGGATGTGAGTTTGGAGGATGTGG